TTGTTCTGTCAGGAAATTTCTCCTTAGTTCTAAGTTGCTTCTCTCCTTGATCAGTTTCCACCCATTGCTTCTTGTCCTACCCTCAGGTGGCAAACCCTGAGATATTGGAACACTGCTATCATGTCTCCCCTAGTCCTTCTTTTCATTAAACTAGACATATCCAATTCCTGCAACCATTCATTATATGTTTTAGCCAGGGGTGAAATGCTACCAGTTCACCGAAACTGGTAGTAAAAAAAAGTTCCCATGATCACGGGGCACAGCTGATTGTTGCACAGCTGATCATTGCACAGCTGATCATCGGAACTTTTTAAAAACATTTTTACAGCATTTTTTTTACTACCAGTTCAGGCACATGTATATACACATGAAAAGCTTGCAAAATGAAAAGAAAACGGAACCACAAATATTATTCCTTATCAGTGTAAACATATGTCACATAATACAGAAGCTTAAAAGGTTTAGCTTGTATAAGTCCACTTTTCATGACATTGTCCCAAAACAAAAAACAAAAATAATAAACTAATATTGCTCTATATTGCCACCTACAGTCAAAACATGGACAAGTAAATGGAAGAACAAAGGTATCCAGAAATTTGTCCAAACTATTATGGGAACAATATGACATTTCCCTCCTCTGCTTGAGGTTCAATTTTACCAATTAAAATTAATAGAGTCTTGTGAATAGACTTTCCCTGCATGAGATGAGAACTAATAAAAATAACAAGTTGTAAATTGCAATCCATTTTAAATTTATTTAAGTCCACCTGAAATCAATAGAACATACTTTTCTATAGCCTGTAGCTGGATTTAAAGGCTGCACAAAGCCATGGTTTGTTTGCATTGTTATTAGTTGCATTACAATGTCTAGATTTCCACAGACCATATTAAACCAAAATGGATGGTTGGATTTACTTGTTTTAAAAATTATGCTAAGCATGATACCCAGATTTGGTCTGTGTTTGGTCTGTATTGCTATTAAGAACAACCATTATATGTGCATGCTGTGTAGAGTATGTTATAGATTAATGAGAGATAGTTTGGTGTAATGGGCTGGAAACCAGGAGAGTGAGACTGGAAACTAGTCCTGTTTTATGTTCAAAGCTTTGGGCCAGCCTTTCTCAGCCCTAGGAAGCAGGGCAGACTACCCCTTGCCAAGAAAACTGCAGGGATTTCTCCAGTGAATTAAGAGCATTAAAAAAAAAGCATGTCATATTACACATGTGTGGCTTAATTGTTACAAATAAAAACCTAGGTTAGCTCACTTGACATAATTTGTTTCTGATGAAAACTCTAGTTTTGAAATCAAATTCTTTGATGCATCAAGCCACACAATGTTGATGGCTATGTTTGCCATCTCTGATAGAGTGGTTCTACCTTAAGCATTTGTTTTAAAATAGTTTGCTTTTTTTAAAACAGAGCATTTTTAGTTAAACAGGATATCCTGAACAAAAAAAAAATATTTTTTTTGAAGTTTATCGTTTTTATGCCCGGAGTTGCTGACTTCTTATTTGAAGACCCGTGTCTAGGAAGCTGGATGGAATACTGTGACCTGTTTGGTCTTCTGGTGCATTCTTACTAAACCACTTGTAACTTGTCAATCTGGATTTCACTCCATTGTTACATAAAGGCACAACTAAGGTGGTCATTTAAAAAAATGATCACTGCCCCTTGAAAGCATTGAAAAATATAAATTTATTGTTTCACTTTTCTTTTCCCTCAGATCCTTTTCAGAATGTCTGATGAAGACTTAACTTATTACCAAAAAATTATCATTTCTTTTTCTTCTTTTTCTATATTTGTTTACATGTGTACATAGCAAACACTGTAGTCCTCAACATTGACTTTCTTCTATTTATATTAAACTGCATAGTGTAGATGAATACTAATAATAAGAACAGTTAATTTGATGGATCATTTCTCTGAGTATATAGTAGGCATCTAATATTTTTATATTAGATATTAGGTATTTATAGGAAAAATACCTTTGATGGCAAGCAGATCTAGAGATATCAGTTGGAGGAAGTAAACCTAGTTTCAGCTTGTATATGCACTTTATACTTCTTCAGAGACAACATAATCTCATCTTCCCTTTTTGCTAGATCTTTGAGACTCAGGTATGACTAAATCCAATTGCTGTCTCTATCAGTTGGCTTCCTACAAGTATTCCATGGTTACTTGGCTACCTAGGTTTGTTGCCATGCATTCCATTCTAGGCCATCTGAAAAAAGTCATACTATATTAACGAACATGTACATACAACAGAAAAAGTTTATGGCCCACTCTCCTCTTTTGTAAAAAAAAAATTCTTCCTGTTTCTTGATGTTCAAAGTGAGATGCTAACAAGTAGGAGCAATATTCAGTGTTCAGCAGTCAACTCCAAAGGCCCTTTCCCTCTAGGCCCATTCCCAAGACACATCTGGATCCACCACAACACTCCCCAGGACAGCTTAGATAAAGCTTGCCATGAAATCTGGAAGAGAGTCCAAGGCCTCCCTGAGGAACTACAGCCCAAATCTTCATCACCTCTTCTGCAGGTTAGCTGTCACCCTATCACCTCTTCAGAGGCTCTACAAGAAGACAGCAGTAGTAGTCACAACAGTTCTCAAAAGGAGTGAGTGTTTTTGTTATTTTTTAAAAAAAATATTTCTTTACAAACTGAGAATAGGCTTCTTTCCAAATATGTAGTTCTGTAGAAGGTTTACATAACTAGAGATCTCATAACAATGACTGAGTTGAAAAAAGAGGCATACATTATTCTGTTATAAAATCCTAAACATTTAGAACCCTAAACATTTAAGGGCCTGAAATGATTTCAGGGTGTGTCTATAATAGTTGGAGTAATAATCCCTTCAGAGTTAAACCTGGAACATCAATTTATAGACCCTCCAAAGAATGACTTAAGTGAACAGTAAATAAAAAGTGAAAGTAATTCAGAATACCCATTCTAGAGCCAGTTTGGCCTAGTAATTAAGGAACCAGATTAGGTATCAGGAGATGGTGTTCTAGTCCAACTCTAGGCATGAATACTGGCTGGGTGACATTAAGCTAATAATGAGACGGTGAGTTCTAATTCTGCCATAGACATGAAAGCTGGATGTGTGACATTGGACCAATCAGAAAAATAGGAAGAGGAAAGAGTATAAGCTATGTTTGTTTCCTTGAGTTATTTAAAAATGATAATGGTGGGATTAAAAAAATACCATGTTTTAAACAATCCAATAATATTATTTCATTTAGAATGCAGGTAAAGCTTTTTCCAGGACCTTAATAATGATAAACAGCAGATGGGATAAATCAGAACACATAGCTTAGACCCTGAATATTTCACAATCACATTTTCTCTTGCCTACCCACCGAGAAGAAATACTTTCTTAACAAACATTCACACCCAAATAGAGAATGATCTTGATAAAGGTGCCCCAACTGTAAAATAGTCTCCCTGTTCAGTTACAGTTGATGTGGAATCTTCTTAGCTTTTAGTGTCAGCTACAAAGCTATTTATTTGACCAAGCTATTGTTTGAACTTATGTTTCTTGGTCATTTAAGTAAATTGCTCTTGTTTTTATGATGCTATTTTTTTAAGGCTTTAAGTAGCATGATTTTTTTTTTACCATTTTATTGGTTCTGTTCTGTTGTATGTCATTTGGGGATTACTTTTAATGGAAAGTGGGAGAATGCTTTTATAATAAATAAAATAAAAATAACATTAAACACCACTCAAGAAAATCTAGGGAAAATAAATAGGCCATTGAATTTATAGGCAATTCTGATATACTGAGAATGGTTTCTTGTTTAAAAGAGAAGCATCTCATACATCTTTCATTCTTTAGCATTCGAATAGCTTCTGCAATCCCTCTACCAATAAATCCCCCAACAATCAAATGAGTAGTAGAGAATTTATTTACCCAACTTTTTCCTAACGCTTGGGGGGGGGGGGGATCACTGCACGTGTGTGTGTGTGTGTGTGTGTGTGTTCAATTCAGATTGATAATTTTGATTTAATTTTTCTTTGGAATCACAGGAAAACCAATGTATTTTACTAATGGAAAGGATCAAAAAGCAGAATGAATAAGATTTTTTTAAAAAACAAAATTACAAATTTTCTATCTCTTCTAACGTAATGTACATTCCACACAACTTGCAAATGCTTTCACAGCAGTTTACAGGCTCATGTTAACATAAATCCATGTCTGAGATTATGCAGGCAGCTAGAGGATGTATCAGCAACAGCTCTTAAATTAAAAAAAGAAGCAAAACAAGGCTTTCATAGAGGAAAATGAAATGAAACTTATAGAGGAGCATTACAAGGAATATACAGAGATAGGCAGAAATGTTTGTCAAAATTCCAACAAAATGGATATCTTTGGGCAAAATCTTCAAGCAAAAAATACTATGAATAATTTGTAAGTGAGCAATTAAACAGAAACAGGTGGAGTTATCCTGCTAAACAGGATGTTGAACATTAATAGTTTTGCTCAGCTAAAATGTATGTGTGATGTACACTTCAGTAGAATCAGTCAACTGCCTTGGACAATTGATTGGGCAATGAATTGTTAAATCATTTCTGCTATACATTTTTACTATCTAGGAGGAGGAAATGTCCTATCAGATCGTCTGCCTTAATGCTAAAGAAACTAAATCAGTCTTGGAGTGGGCAAACATAGAACTTGCTGTTTACCCAAGCACAGATAGGCTAGAATTTGAGGAGAGTTTAATACTGTTTTGATGTAAAGATTATATCAAATTATTTCTAAGTCCATATCTGAAATAAATTGTACTTTCCTTTAATGATTTCCAGATTCTTATGATGCAATTTCTGACCCCCAAAACACATTTATCTACCCTTGAATATGAACATCTAAGCATTAGGGAATTACATAGATTAGGCAGTTTGTTAAGAACAATAGGGTACAACATTGCATATATTCTAATATATTTGTTGTTGTTAGTTGTGAAGTCATGTCCGACTCATTGCAACCCCATGGACAATGTTACTTCAGGTCTTCCTGTCCTCTACCATCTCCCAGAATCCATTTAAGCTCACGCCTGCTGCTTAGGTGACTCCATCCAGCCACCTCATTCTCTGTCGTCCCCTTCCTCCTCTGCTCTCAATCTTTCCCAGCAGGAGGCTCTTCCCCAGTGAGTCTTTCCTTCTCATTAGGGGGCCAAAGTATTTGAGTTTCCTCCTCAGGATCTGGCCTTCTAAAGAGCAGTCAGGATTGATCTCCTCGAAGACTG